GATCACTAACCTAGTCCTAGGGGTGGTGAGGGATGGGACAGACATGGCTCCTGCCGGTTTAAAACTCAGGTTTTATATTGCTTAGTGTGGTGAGGCCTCTGGAAAGATGGCTGGTTACTCACAGATCTCTAGGACAGAAGGGGGTGCACCATGAAGGGCTGTGCCAGAGAAACTGCAGAGTAGGCAAGAGGCAGAAGGAGAGGGGGATGTGGGCAGGAGCCTCCACTGTGGAATCACAGGAAGGAACGGTGAGGTGAGTGAGCAGGTGTAGGACTGATTTGCTAGAATAGTTTTGGGGTTGTGGGGCACAAGGCTGCCCCTGGTTGTCTGACCCTGGCCCTGAGGAGATAGGGCAGGGGTCAGTGGTCCTGAAGGTGAAAGGCTGATAGAGGCTCTGGCTGGGGTGTGTGCTGTGCATTGGGTGGTTTGCATTTGAAAGGTGTGCTCCAGGCAAGTCATTTTCTGTGTCTAGGGATTGGCTAATCCTAGGGGGAGGGGAGGGAAGGGAAGGTCCTTTAGCCTCAGGAAGGCCCCAGAGGTCAAAGCATCTAAATAAGAAGGTAAAAGGCATGGTTAATATGCCTGCCCTCCAGCAGTTTACTGCGGTGGGGGGGATGGTGGCTGGAGGGTGAGGACCTCGGTTCAGACTTGCTGTGGGGAGTCCAGGTGGGGGTAATCATGGAGAACCAGCAAATAGGACGACAGTGAGTGTGCAGGTGGCAGGGGCAGATGGGTCCAGTGCTCCTCAGGAGGCAGAGTGTGTGGGATCTGGTAGCTGACTGGGTGTGGAATGAGAGAGAAGAGGGTGTCAGGGATGCCTTGTCTCCACCGTGACACCTGTGCATCACAGTGTTGTTTGCCGAGATGGCCAAGGCCGGGGTGGAGCAGGTTTGGCAGAAAGGGGAAGGCCAGGAGCTCAGATGGCGATGTGTGGGTGTCAGTGTCCTGTGGGAACCTCTCAGCCAAGACTGAAGCTGCTGCTGTGGGTAGAGGCCCAGATGTCAGGACAGTAGGCAGAAACGTCAGAGCATCAGCAAATCCGCTGGGACTGAAGCCGTGGGCACTGGTGAGGTGTCTAGGAGGAAAGGAGAGGAATGGCCCAGGACACAGCCTGAAGGACTCTGACAGATAGAGGATACAGGGACTTTCCGATGCCAGTAACTCATGTCACATGAGTGGAGTGCCCAGTGTAGTGTATTTTATTTTATTTTTTGAGACAGGGTCTCACTGTGTCACCCAGGCTGGAGTGCAGTGGTGCAATCTCGGCTCACTGCAGCCTCCATCTTCTGGTTCAAGTTATCTTCCTATCTCAGCCTCCAGAGTAGCTGGGATTACAGGTGCACCATCATGCCTGGCTAATTATTGTATTTTAAGTACAGACAGTGTTTCACCATATTGGCCAGGCTGGTGTCCAACTCCTGGCCTCAAGCGATCTGCATGTCTCGGCCTCCCAAAGTGCTGGGATTACAGGCGTGAACCACCACGCCTGGCCTATTTTGTCATTTTTTATGAGACTGTTTCACACCAAGTTCATTCTTTTCCTATTTCTCCCAAATTATTATGAAAGTAGACTTACATTTTAATAAAGACTTTTTAAGTTAAAAAATTAAATTGGGTTAAAATACTGGAAGAAAACACAAGATTTTGTTTCTAAAAAATATTTAAACTTCAGCTGCAGAATGCCTTTCTAAACAAGACACTAAACCCCAAAGCATTTCATTAAGGGAAAGTTAAATTTTCATATAAGGAAAATGAATGATAAAGTCAAATTGGCCAGAAGGAGAATTATTTTCAGCAGCTCTGACAAATGAGCCAGTGTCCATCAATACAACAGATGAAGAATCATCTAGAAACTAGAACATTTCAGTAGAGAAATGGGCAAAGGATACTAACAAAGAGTCAAGAAGATGGATGATTAACATCCAAAAAGACACACAGTTTCTTCCTAATTAAGAAATGCAGGTGAAAACCGAGATTCCCTTTGTCACCTGTTAGAGTGACAGTTTCAGATGTAGGGAAAACGGTCCCCCTAAAGCTAGTGATGGGAGAGTATCAAGCCAAAATAACCAAAAGAATCAGAATCAGGTTTAGAGCTTCTCCAAGCACAAAGCCGAGAACAGGCCCCCCAGCGGATGGAAGTCTGTGTTCCAAAGTGTAGAAGTCTGGGATTGCTTATCTAGACAAAGCTTTGGGAAGTTTAGCAGAATTTCAGCATCCTTCTGCGGAAGGTTTCATGCACGTTACAAGGATCTGACTAGCTGAGGGGTTCTTTTCTCTCTGGACAGGTATACTTATTCCACACTGAAGGCGCAACTATCATGGGGTCCTGGGTGCCATCCTCTCTGAGTTAGGTATGGGACAATAAAGAGGCAGATAATCTGTCACAAAGTCCAGTGATTAGAAGCGGGAGGTCTGGTGTCCAGTCTCTCCTGGTCATTCACAGAACAGGAACAGTGAAGAGGAAGGTTATTCTCTCTTTTTTTTTTTCCTGAGATGGAGTCTCACTCTGTCGCCCAGGCTGGAGTGCAGTTGTGCAATCTCAGCTCATTGCAACCCTCCGGAGGGTTACTCTCTCAGAAGCAGAACAGCAAACAGGTTACATGCATCAGGTGTCCGGGCTTAACTTCCCCGTTGGCCTAGTAAATTTAGAGCATTCTGAAATTTTATTTTATTTTATAGGAGTGACCATTAAAAAATTTTGGAAATTGCAAAAGATGATTGAAAAAAACCACAGGGTCCTCCAAGGGACTTGGCTAAGTACGGATGAGACTTATGCATGAACAGATGAACTTTTAAAGCCTTAAAATTATGATAAAATACACATAACATAAAATTGACCATCTTAACTATATTTAAGAATAATTCAGTGGCATTAAGCCCATTCACATTGCTGTGCCACCATCCCCACTATCCATCTCGGAACTCTTCTCATCCCCAGACTGCAGCTCTGTCCCCGCTGAACACCAGCTCCCCATTCCCGCTTCCCTAGCCCTGGCGACCACTGTTCTACCTGGTCTCTGAATGCTCTAGGGACCTCCTGTGAGCAGCAGCATAGAGTATTTGTCCTCTGGGGCTGGTTTGTTTCACTAAGTGTAATGTCCTCAAGGTTCATTTCTGTTTTTGTGTGTAAGCAGGCAAATTTTTTACTGAAAAAGCAAAAGCAAGTGGCATATATGTGTGCATAAAATACTTTTAGTTAGCGCTACAAAAATCTCGGCCTGGCGTGGTGGCTCATGCCTGTAATACCAGCACTTTGGGAAGCCGAGGCAGGCAGATCACCGGAGGTCAAGTGTTCCAGACCACCCTGGCCAAAATAGTGAAACCCCATCTCTACTAAAAATAGAAAAATTAGCTGGGCATGGTGGTGCACACCTGTAGTCCCAGCTACTCAGGAGGCTGAGGCAGGAGAATCGCTTGAACCTGGGAGGCAGATGTTGCAGTGAGCCAAGATCACAGCACTGCACTCCAGTCTGGACAACAGAGCCAGACTCCATCTCAAAAAAAAAAAGAAAAAAAAATCTATATAGGTAGCGAGAGCTTCAGGTGAGGCTGTTTCATCATATCAATACATCAAACCTGTGTTGTTTGAAATTTTTGCTGTTGATGTGCATTGCTCTTTCCTTCTTTCTTGTTTTAGAGACAGGATCTCACCCTGTCACCCAGGCTAGGGTGGAGTGGCATGATCATGGTTCACTGCAGCCTCGACCTCCTGGGCTCACAGGATTCTCCCCTTCGGCCTCCCTAGTAACTGGGACCATATCCGGATTCATTGCTTTTTCATTTTAATAGGTTTTGCTTTGTGTGGTTTAGGTTATGGTCTATTTAAATAGCAGTGGTAGTTTCTGATTTATATGATATGGTTAATTAAATTCTACTTGGAAATTTAACCATATTCCCACTAAGATAGTTAGAAAACAATCATGGTTCAGCAGCCAAGCCCCTGAGTTCACCCAGCCTCACCGCTCCCGACCACCTCTGCCTCCTGCACCGTACGCTATGGATTCTGTGTGGCCCTGAAGGCCTCTGAGTTTCAGCCCAGGCCTGGCCTTCTCGCTTGTCCCACAAGACTCCCACAGTCTTCCCTCACCCCTTGACTGTCTGCTCAGGGCCCAGGCCTTGGTATCACAGCCCCACCTCATGAGAAGCCCTGTCTTCCTACTCACTGTTCACTCCAGGACCACACAGCCCCTCCTCCCCACCCTCCACCCCCAGGAAAACTGGCGCCCTGAGCAGCCCACCAGAGACCATGTTCTGGCAGCCCCTGCCCCGCAGGTGCAGACCAGGATCTCTGAGCTACAAAGGATTCCTGGGTGGGGGTGGAGGTAGTGTCGGGCCACATCCCTCGTTCCCTGTGGGTATCAGCAGAAAAGAAACGCAAGGCACTGGGAACCTGCCAGTAACACCTGAGTGGTCACCTGAAGAAACGGGGTGCTGGGGAGCCCACCCGGCGGGGGTAGACTTGCCGGGCTTGGAGAGAAAATAGGCTATGGCTTCCAGGCAGCACACCCCCCCGGTTTCCCAGTTTGGTCAGAAGGACCACTTCTCACAGTGGAATGGGGGTGGGAGCTCTCTGAGTAGGTGGAGTCTTAGGGGCTTCCATCCAAGTCCTGCGGGAAGTCCCTGGGAGACAAGGCACTGACCAGGTCGGGGCCAGAGGCTCGGGGTCCTTGTCCTCCCTTGGTCCCAGTATGTCCATCTGTAAAACGGCCCTGCACTGCTACTCCTAAGGAACACACTGAAGGATGGGAAAGGGAAGGCACAAAACACCTGTGCAGCAGGCGCAGGTGCTAGGGATTCCCAGGCCTTTTTCTCCCACAATTCTCACAACTTCCTGGCAAAGCCAGTGTGATTATCTCAGATGTAGAGCCCTCGGTCTCACAGGCGAGGGAGCTGAGGCTGAGCCCCTGTGTGTCTGAGACATTCCCCGCCTCAGGTTGTGTTCACAGCTCTCAGGGGCCAGGTGAGTCACTGCTGTGGCCCTCACTTTTGTGTCTCCCCAGAGAACAGTGTGGAATCCTTGAGCATCAGCTCTTCGTCAATCACTGAAGACAAACCAAAGGAACATGCAAGAAAAAACAAAGGTAACCTTCAAGCTGGGAGGCTGAACTCTGGGTTGGCGGGAGGCAAATCCTCTCCCTCTGCCCTGGTCTCTAAAGCTAAGGGCAGAAGGAAATGCTTCTTTTTCCGTTAGGAACTGGGTTACAGAGACTTGAAATAACAGGCATGTAAACAAAGTAGGATTTATTGCTCCCTCTATTAATGAGAAATGTGGGAGGCAGTGCAGGCTTTCCTGAGGCTCCACAAACAGCAGTTCAATGAAATTCAGATGACCGGGTCCGCAAGTCTCTCTGCTCCACCAGAAAGGAATTAGGGCTTTCAACCACAAGATTGTCTCGTGCTCACAAAATGGCTGCCGCAGCTCCAGCCTCATCACATCTGATTCCAGGCAGAGAAAATGAACCAAAGGAAGGGCAAAGCTACACTCTGGCTGACTGAGCCTTTCTAGGGGAAAGGTTTCTTCCCAAAAGTCCCATCCAGCAATGTCTGCCCACATTCCAGTAGGTAAATTTGCCATATGGCCATCAGGGTTTATAAGGAAGGCACATTGCTGCCACCATTAGGAGGAAGGAGGGTAGGCGGCTAGCTAGCTGCGTGTGCCTCACACTGGTACCCTGCACAGGGCACCGCCACCTCCTGCACTGTGGCTCCGACCTCCCTTGCCTGGACTCCCTGCTGTCTCCGGAGCTGCCCCTGTACTACTAGGCCAGTCTGGTCCTTCTGCAGGGGTTTGCAGGCATGAGCATTTCTCCCAGCCTGTCCTCCACGGCCTAGGCTCCCACCCCTTTCCCCACCACCTTTCCTTTCTTCTATAATTATGAAATCAATGAAAATTCAAACATGTCCAGACATAGAGATTGGAGCCAGCGAGGCTCACAGGCCCACCACCAGCTTCTGCCACTGACTCAAATGTGCCCGTTTGCTTCCTCTGTCCTTTTGCTCTTTTTCTTTGCCAGGGCATCTTAAAGTAAAATCCAGATGTGTCGTTTCATCCACCTCAGTGTGGACTTCGCAACAATAGGGGTGTTTCCGCACAGTCCCAAGCATCATCACTACACCTGACAAGGCGAACCAGCCCAACCTGCAGGCAGACTTCCCCAGTTATCTCAGAAACATCTTCCGAAGAACATTCGTTCTAATCAGGATTCAAAGGAGACCTGAGTTCCGTCGGTCTCTGTGAATCTAGCAGCCCCCTCCCTGGCCCACCCTGTCGCTGTCTGGCTTTGACTTGTTGAGCAGTGGTGTGGCCTCTCCTGCAGCAGGCCCCAGTGTCCCCATTCTGCACTCGTGCAATTTGTGTGTCTGCTTCTCTATGCCCATTGTTCCTGCTCTTGGACATTAGCCCCAGGTGCTTGACTAGATCTTGGCTCCCCTTGGTCATGAGCCTCTTCTCATGGGCAGAGGCAGCCCCCACATCTGCTGTGGGTGCAGAGGCACGGGAGGGAAGGAGGGAGTCCCGGGAGTGAGTGCCTGACCCTCCACACAAACTGTCACAGCAGCCATTCACCCAATCGCCCATCTATCCTTTTCTTTTTTTGATACAGGGTCTCACACTCACCCAGGCTGGAGTGCAGTGGTTCTATCACAGCTCACTGCAGCCTCAACCTCCTGGGTTCAAGCGATCCTCCCACTTCAGCCTGCTGGGTAGCTGGCACAACAGGTGCGCACACCTGCCTTTACACCTGGCTCATTTTTGTATTGTTTGTAAAGATAAGTTTTCACTATATTACCTAGGTTGGTCTTGAACTCCTGGGCTCAATCAATGCTTCAGCCTCGGCCTCCCAAAGGGCTGGGATGACAGGCATGAGCCACCACACCTGGCCCAGTTTATGAGTTTTGACAAATGTGTATAATGTGTTCCCTCCACACTCGGAAGATCTAGACCATTTCCATCTCCCCAGAAATTGTCCTTCCCCCACAGACAGCCACTCTTCAGCTATCCCCACCAAACCACCGGCTCCCCTCTCCAGCCTCCTGTAAATGGAATCACACACTCTCTATCCTTCCAGTTTCGGCTTTCACTCAGCATCTCGTCTGTGAGATGCATCCACGTTGCTGCACCTAGCCAGAGTCCCTTCTGTGCATATATCAACCATTTATTCTTTCTATTGCTTGTGAACATGGTGAACATTTGGGTTGTTTCCAGGGTGTGTGTGTTTTTCTTTTCTGAGATGGCGGTTCACTCAGTCACCCAGGCTGGAGTGCAGTGGTGTGATCCCAGCTTGCTGCAACCTCCACCTTCTGGATTCAAGCTATTCTCCTGCCTCAGCCTACTGAGTAGCTAGGATTACAGGTGCATACCACCATGCCTGGCTAATTTTTTGTATCTTTAGTAGAGGTGGGGTTTCACCATGTTGGCCAGGCTGGTCTCCTGACCTTGGGTGATCTGCCCACCTCGGCCTCCCAAAGTGCTGGGATTACAGGAGTGACCTACTATGCCCAGCCATCCAGTTTTTAGCTATTACAAATAATACTGCTATGAAGTTTTGTACATGTCACTTTGGGGACATAAGCACTCACTTCTCCAGGGTACACACCAAAGAGTGGAATTGCTGGTCGTGTGTTTAACTTTAGTGGAAAATGAAGTTTTCCAGAGGGACTATACCAATTCACAGTCCCACCAAGAGGCATACAACTTCCAGTTGCTCTGCATCCTCTCCAACTTGGTACACTGCCGATCCTTTTCATATGACTTTGTCCTCTGGGTATATGTCAGCATCTCATCTTTCCTGGAAACCCAGGAGGGCAATTGCCTTTTCATGTTTCTGGGCCATTTGATGATTCTGTGTTGAGACATATCTGTTTCCACCTTCTGCCCACTTTTCTGTTGCATTGCCTGTTCATTTTAATGATTTCTAGGAACTCTTTCCTGGATAGAAGTCACTTGCTAGTTTGTATGGCAGATATCTTCTGTCAGTCCTGGGACTGCCTTTCATTCTCTGAGTGATGCTAAAAGGCACCAATAAGAAGTTGCTAATTCTGGTGTTCAGTTTCGTGTAGCTCAATCATTTCTGGGTCATGGCTTTTAGTGTCTTATTTTAAAACTCTAAATGCTCATTAATGATAGACTTGATAAAAAAAAAAATGTGGCACATATACACCATGGAATATTATGCAGCCATAAAAAATGATGAGTTCATGTCCTTTGTAGAGACATGGATGAACCTAGAAACCATCATTATCGGCAAACTGACATAAGAACAGAAAACCAAACACTGCATGTTTTCACTCATGGGTAGGTGATGAACAATGAGAACACGGGCACAGGGAAGGGAACAACACTCACAGGGCTAGGTGGGGGGGTATGGAGGGGAGGGGAGAAGGGGGACAATGGGGGTGGGGTGGGGAGGATGGGGAGGGATAACACTGGGAGAAATGCCTGATGTAGGTGAGGGGGTCTGGGGGGTGGATGGAGACAGCAAACCACCATGGCATGTATGTACCTATGCAACAATCCTGCAGGTTGCAGGACATGAACATACACCCCAGAGCCCAAATATAAGAAAGGAAAAAAAAAACTCTTTGCTGACCCCCAAGGTCATGATATCCTCTTGTTGTGATTTCTACAGCTTTTGTTTTACTTTCACAGTGAGTTCTACAAACCATATCTTCATTGACCTAATCATAGCCATTTCATTTGTAGATTGCTTTGGGTTTTCTACTGTACAATCACGTCACCTTGAATGCCATTATTTTCTCTTCCTTCCTTTGTGATCCTTATGCCCTTTCTGTCTTT